CTCTTCGTTCCTCGAGTTGTCCTTTACTACTACTTTTTTTTTTTCCAGATTTTTGTACAAACTGTGGCAGAGGCAGCTTTTCAGAGTTTATCCGCAAAGCTGATCCACCCATCTGGTGTACGGGCAAAAAGATGAGTATGTCTTGAGATTCCTAGACACTTGACTTGGGTGAGGCTAAGGGAGAGAGGCTGCAAGGAACTGTGCAGAAACTGAAGGATCTGCTGGACTTCTTTACTGAATTCTAGACTTTTTACTAGAAAGTGAAGCAAATTTAGACTTCCCTTCAAAACACTTATAATAAACTTTATTAGAAATTAATAGTAGCAATATATACAAGGAGGAAAGCACCTTTTCTCCTTCATTATTTCCCCAGATGTTTTTTCATTAATTATGTTGGCTCTCCATTTACCTTCCCCCGACCATTTAATTGCATAAACTTTATTTAGATGGGTCYGGGCTGATAAGATGAATGCTGCTAGGGAGGGAGTGCTAATATTGCCCTTAAAGTTTCTGTGCCAATTGCGAGYATATCTATAATATGAGGAGAGGAGAGTTAGTTAGTGGACTGGAAGAGCAGAACTGCTTTCAGATCAATAGATGAGCTGACACTGAGGCTGGAGGACTGATAGAAGTAGTGGAAAGGATAGACACAYTTGGCAGATTTCTGAAGACACATTCAATAGTGACACAGAGATGGAGCTGATAAATCAATAGCTCTTTGAGGAGATTAGATTGATATTTTAAATGTATATGAAGCAGTCTTAGCCAGGAAGGCTGAACAACCACTGAAGGGAAAGATAAGCAGAGAAACATGAATTCATATTTCTGTATCATTGCAGTGGGGCTATTAGAGGGATCGTGCGGATCTTCAACTGCTTCCCTTGTTGCAACTGGGTGCTGGATGAGATGCAAGTCTGAATTGTGCTGTCACTCCCACATTCCTTGGCCTAGCTGCTGTGGGTTAAGAGACTATAGTCATGAATAAGTGGTTGTTATTGTGGAAAAGCAGATWGAGGAGATTGCCTGTGAAGAGCAGGACGGGACTGGGACAACTGTGCGCTCTTTCTAGGGGTGGAGTAGAAGTTGGCCCAGGCCCACYGTGTATATAATCTGCATGAGGGTGTTCTCCAAAGCCTAAGGATGTAAAGGAAGGCATTATGGCAAACCTTCAACCCRTGTGATCCATAGGAATTAGAATCTAAATTACGTCTCATTGAAGACAAGGGCAGTTCTGTCAGTGGTTTCAATACTGGGCCTTTGTACACTCACTTTGTGCTACCTCAGGCCAGTCAGGCCATCTCCCYACGCTACCAATTAGATGGGTTGTTATAAAAGAAACAAAAAGCTATAAAGTGGTTTTAATCATTCTGGGATTCCTGGAGTGATGTGCAGCTTTTGCACTGTGATGATCAGTGTTTGGCCCTCCCACGACGTTCCTCTGTCTTCCTTGAAGACCTACTGGAAGTTCAACATGAAAGCTGCTCTGTGAGCAGTGGTGGTGTTGTGTTCACCAGATGTCGTGACTCTAAATTAAAGGGGAGCCCCTACTAATTTCCGAGTAGTTCACAAGTGAATTATTATGGCTGGAAAACTTGGCTATTTAATATATATTTCCATAGAGGCAGGATTGTAGAATGAAAAATGTATAATAATGAAAAGTGAAGCATGTCCTTGATTTGCTTTCTCTTGTTCTGAACTTGATGGAAATGGGATAAGCCACAAGATAGTTGAGCTGCTCATCTAACCAAGTTACATGCAGTCATGGGCACAGTGCCTGCCTAAGCCTGAATGTACATGCACAACAGGTACATATATTTGTATATTCCTAGGTACAAAGAAAATTAATATGAAAGTAGGATTGAAATTCCCAGGGTGAAATCATTTCAAATTCAATTTTAGGAAAATTCAAGGACTAGGTTAGACTAAAAAGAAGTAAAAAAACTATATTTTGACATACTCGTAAAGTATCCTTCTGAAGTGCTCTGGTTAATGCATTTTAGTGTTTCAGCCTCAGGCTTAACTATATTTAATGATACCATATTCTCCCTCCACCCCTTTCCTAATTTGAGCGCATTTGCTTCCAAACTTCCTTGGATTTGTTTCACATTTGCCACTAACCTCGAGATATTTTTTGCAAGTTTTACAAACAGACTGAAGCCAGTTGATAGTTCATATTTCTTGCTTGGGAATGACAGAATCACAAGGGAAAAGAGCTAGCCTAAACTTCTTAATATCCTGGCCTGAAAACATTCTGGTCTAATCCAGCACTTCCTATCAGAGCTTTATATTTTGTGTGCATGCAAGCAGGGCGATCGCTTGATTAGTCAAGCCACTGGGGGTCCCAGGACCACACACTATATAGCAATAAAGTCATTCCTCCAGCCAGATCTCCCTCTCCCATCTGTAAGCAAAAGATACAGTGGAGCCAGGCAGCCCTTGCCACCTTCAAGAGTGCCTGGAGAGTAATTCCAGCATCCAGCCAATTGGTCCCCAGCCCTGTCTCATGTTGGCGTAGGATCATGCTTGTTCTGTCTCCAGATGAGGAACTTCTTCACTGTCAGGGTGCCAGGGCCTTGGAACAGGCCTCCCATGGAGGCTGTGGAGTCTCCTTCACTGGAGATCTTCGAAACCCGCCTGGATGCTGCCCTGTGCCCCGTGCTCTGGGTGTCCCAAGAACTTAGACTTGTGAGACCTGGGTTTTATTCCTAATGTGCCAATTCCTGCTGTGTGGCTTTGCAGATCTCTCGGTGTGTATTTAGCTTCCTCTTGTGCTTGTGGAGGCCATGGCTTTTGGGGACCCCTTGCTCTGCTTGGCTTTTGGTGTGTGGTTCCACCACCTGTGCTGCTGCAGGTTCCTGATGCGGATGAGGACTTTCTGGCACTACCAAAATCTGCAGGAGGAATGAAACTGGTGTTCAGCTGTAGGCTTATGCTAGTAATTACAGCACAGATTACAGGAGTTCTAGAGTTAAAAATAAGAACATCTGGGGCTTTAAACTCACATCCAGGACCGGGGGGACAAAATACATCCCTTGTGTAATGTTCCACAGACCCTGTGTTTGGCCATGTCTTTGCCACTAAGCACTGAGAGATGAACTGCAGGTGTTAGAATAGAATAGATTGAGCACTATCAAAGGGTTTCCTTTGTTGATTAAACCACAGTTTAGGTGGTAAATATTTGTTTACAGGAAATCTTGGCTTCTGGTTAATACTCTCCAGCACAATGTGACTGTGGGCTGCAGACCTGGTTCTCCTCATGACGGGGTTGCCTTGCACTGCCTCATCTCCTCCTTTACCTGCCTTCCTCTGGGCAGAGGGGACGCAGGCTTAACTGCAGAGTTGAATCTTATTGAAAATGTAAAATGAATTTCTAATAACGGGGCAATTTAATAGAGCAATTCCAAACGGCTGAAAGCAGATTTATATCAGTGCATTGATTAGTTGCTGAGGACTTGCAGAATCTTCTATTTGTGATTGGCCCTGGCCAGATGAACCTTGTTATTCCTCATGAGTTTTACACTRGTCTCTCTTTATTACTCTCATTTCCTTTCCAAATCCTATCTAGGAAAATCTATGGGTATCAAGAGCTTGAGTCCTATKGTCATGGACCCCCTAAATTTTCTAGCATTGAAATGTATCTAAGAAATTCAGACTTAGAAGATGGTAAAGAAAATGGTAACACCAGCTGAGAGCTGAGAGAGGGAAGTTGCGTGTACCTGCTTTGGATTTGCTTCTGGAGCTCGGATTCTGTGAAGACCAAGTGGGATAAACCAAAAAATAGAGGGTAACTAGAGATAGGCACAGAATGAAAGGTGCAAATATCAACTGGTCCTGCAGAGAGTTCGATGCAGAGACATATTGGAGCAGAAATGGTTGGAGCAGCTGCTGGTTCAGGGCAGGTCGTTAACTGCAAACATCAGAGCATAGCGCTGGATAACAGGAGGCTTCGGAAGTCRGGTGAAAGCAGGGAAAAGCTACTGGACTTGAACAAGTCCTATTCAGAACTAAGAACTGAAACAGCAAAAAGCTTTCAGGCGAGCCCCTGGCTACAGTAGCAGAATTTTGGCTCCCCAGCCTCTTTGTAGCCTGCATTGCTGCTGTAATGCAATATGAACTGACTGGAAGGGCTTGGCAGTGCTGTTGCTCTTCCTCATGGTTAGAGCCAAAGGCTGCATTTTTCAAGCATATCAGGCTGTCCTTGGTTGCTGATGTGAGCACGGGCACCTGAGCTTCCTGCACGCTGGGTTCCTCACGTGTATCTGGGTTGCAGCTGGGCAAGTACCTTCAAGCAGAGCCCTTTGAGCATCCCCGCTCCTGCTGTGCGGTGCCGCGGATCCCTCCGCAGCTCAGCTGCTCCGCAGATCGTAGTTCAGCCGCGTCTGACACGGGGTAGGAGAGCAGGAAGAGGATCATAAGCAGCTCTGGGAATTCATGAGGTGGCCGAACCTCTGCCGAGAGCGATGGTCTCCAGATGTCACGGGCCGCTTTGAAAATTGCAACCCCTGCGATGCTAAAGTTCTGATCATAAAATAATTTTCGTTCAAGCTCCCCTTCCTCCACCCTGAATTTAGGGTGTTGAAATTGTGGACCAAGCGATGTGGAGCAGACTGCCCTTTTGGGGATGGGATGCCTGATGTAACAGGATCCTCAATGCAGGCAATAAACAATGTGAGCTTTCTAATTTGATGGCCTTGATTTGGACATGTAGATAACTTGGGCTTTGTCTTTCTCACCAATACTCTAAACTTTTCACATTAATACRTTAATATCAGCCAGCTGCTGATATAGCTTAGATAAGAAGGAAAAAAGACCTGCAAGTTCACACAATATATACTGTGAACTTTTCTGACCCTTGAAAAAGAGATTCATAACTTGAAAAAAAATATATTTTCCATTTTTACTCAGCTCACTTCCTGGATATGCCTGGGAACAAGAAGCAGGAAGCACCATAAATCTTGTGAAAAAGCCTGTTCTGGCAAACTTCCTAGACCAGCTTTCCTGATTGTTGCATTTTGGTTCGTTTGGATAAACTTCATGTAAGTAACCAAGCTCAAATACTACTCCAACCTATCTGCAAACTCCAAAGACCATGAAGCCAGCTCATTGCTTAGTCTAAGCAGCCTGAACTCTGCTCAGTCTCTTGCCCAGCTTGTTTTTGATATATAAAGCACAGATTTAGGGCTACTTTGGGTTTTTAGATGAACTTGGAGCTGAAGTGATTTAAAATGTTAGCGGGTTTGCTGCAGCCAAGCATAACATATGTAGGCGTTGTGCGACCTTCCCCTGCACAGCTTTGCTAATACATCCTAATCCCTCCTGGTCACACCTTGTGCTATTCAGAGACTCTGCTAATCCTGAGCAGAGTTTACCAGTCGCCCTAAAATGCCCTAAAACTGCTGCATAACAACCAAAGGCTCAGTTTGGATCTAGCAGGTTGTTCCCTGTGCAGCAGGAGGGGTGGGGGGGAAAGAGCAGGTTTGAACCCTGAAGAGAGAAGCAGCTGATGAAAAATGACTCGGGAGGAGATTTTCAGGTTCCTTCTGTTACTCTGTGATGGTGACAGAGGGTTCTGAGATGAGCTGGGAGGTGAGTTAGCTGGGAGGTAGCTCAGGCTACCAGGGATCACGTTGCCTTAGGCTGTGCACATATAGGTTCACGTAGGGTAGACGTATAACCAAAATGCCCAACTCTTTGCTCAGTAATGCTAATGGGGGGCTCTTATTCTCGCAGGCATCAGGTCTGTTTTAGTCCGGGCAGAATATGGTGTTTGATGAGGGCAGCCAAGCAGCCCTGACAGAGGGGGCTGCTGCCTGTCACACCTTGACTTGCTGAGCACTAACACAGCCCGGGGCGTCACAGAGCTGTCACGACACGGCATTAGCATGAGAAAAGGCATCTCTCCCCGTGTTTTGGCATGTCACAGCCCGGTGACAGGGAGCACAAATACAGCGAGGCGCACACAACAGCGCGAGTCGGCRTTGGCTTTGACAGTGTTGGGCACCAAGGCTGTCACTGCCGTGACACAGCCCCTCCTTCCCCCTGCCCACGCTGCCATTCGCAACGGCAGCTCGCCCACCGCTTTTATTTCCACACAATGTGTCAATAATTACTTGTCAGGCCTCTGCTTATAGACCTGGGATGGTGAATAAACGCTTATTATGCCTGAAAAATGTTGCGAGCTTTGCCATAAATCGCGGGTTACAAATGTGCACAATAGGGGCTATTGACACAGAGGCAAACACTCGCATTAACATGTAAAGTCATGCTGCCCAGAATGGAGTTTGACAAACTAACTTGCAGCAAAGGAGTTTGTTGACCTTTTCTGTGCCTTCCTGGCAACTGGACTAGGTTTGTGGGTATTAAAAACTCAGATGAATGGGAGATGAGAGAAGATACGAAGCATCTTCCTCTTTCTCTAAAAGGAAGTGAGATAAGTTTTATATAAAGCCTAGAGAGCACTGAGAGCACTTCAGAACCAGCATTATCTGATACCACTCTGCAAATATCACATAAACTGCTGTAGTTGCATGCAAAAAGCCTTTTAAAAAAATATTTTTTACAGGAGTGGAGCAAATTGAAATGCAAAAGTTAGCTGTCAGCAGCCCATAGACTTGTGCCTGTGTATCCAATAAGGGCTTCATAGCTGAAATATTAGTTTGCGCTGTTAGTTGTTCATGGATTGCCTCTACAGGTTGCATCGGTGTGGGTAGCGTTTCAGATTGCTGGGGACTTGACTTTGGTAGACAGGAACAAACTGTAGGAATGGTATTCTCCATGCTGAATTTCTCAAACACAGGGATCTACACTCTGTGCCATAGATATGTGGATAGAGGAACCTCTCCAAAGCATGATTTTAACTGCAGGTAATCTGAATGATCCTCCATAACATTTCATTGGTTTCCATTGATTTCCCTTTATTTCTGTGGTTTCTGAGGGTTTGCTTTATTTATTTCGTTTGTATCTTTCATACATTTAAAATATCCTTGTTCAGATCATGGCCATCTGGATATCCTGGCTCTGGTGGCTGAAGATATCCATACTTATGCTTAACCCTTTCCTGTTTTCGATATTATTACCTCCACAGCTGTTTTATCTTTTAATATCTTTCTCTTTACATTTTATTTGACATTGCAACCTCAATTTCATTTTTTTTCATTAGTGAGTTCCCTATAAACTTTCTGACCTAGATATTTTATCTTGAGCTAGTGATCTAGAACTCATTTCAGATGATGGAGCAGATGCTTTTAAAGAAAGGGTACTTAAATCAGAGTGTTATTAAGGAAASAGGAATATGCTACTTTTGATGGTAGCTTTTATGGAAAAGAGCTTCCTTTAAGAAACAAGAATCTGTTTTCTTTTTAGGAAAATGTGAACTGCAGAATGAATTTGACCTAGTCCCTTTAAGCAATTCAAAACTCCCTGGTAAATGAAGTTTACATTGCATATGTAAACCAGTGATTTACATGCATGTTGTGGTATATAGATGAATGCGTAAAGCCCTGTGTACCAACCACAGTCAGAACTGCATGAGAATATGGATATCTATGTAGCTTTCCATTTGACTTGTAAAGACATTCTAAGATTAAGATAGTCTTTCTAATCTTAAGGTAGTCTGTGTTTTTCCCACCTGCTCTGAGATCTGGTTCCATGATAGTTCAGTCTGAATGTGTGGTGTTGTCCCAGTCCTCCTTCCCCAAACACACACATGTACGTGCACACACACTCCTCCTCCCTTACCTCGGGACAAGTGCTTGGTGAGTTGGTTCAGGAAGCTAAACTGGCAGCAAACTACTGGCTTTTTTGCATGATTAATTTTCTTCTGGATTAGTTCCCCGAATGGGTGCCCTGAAAAATCACTGATGTCAGCCAAGACAAGGGTCATAAATGCAGCATAGGGAGGGCACAAAGCTGTAAGTTGTGTAGAACTGCAGCAAGCGATTCACCTAAGTTAGAAGTCTCATTATCCTTGTTCCCTTATTTATAGTGGATCAAAACTAGAATACACCACTGGGAAGCTTTTCAGATCTTGGGGTTCCCCTAGTTACCTTTCCTGACATTCCTCATTCTGTTGGTATTTGACACAGTGGATTTTCATCACTGTTATCTTAAGCAGACCTTGTCTGCTCTAAGTTATGCTGATCTCAGTTTGGGATAGCTCCATTGATTGTCCATCGTTTTATCACTGTAAATGCAATTATTGGATTGCCCTGTTGTTGCTTGGCAGTGAACTGGGAAACTCACCTCTGTTTCCTTGTAGGAAAGAAGTATTTTTTTTTTGTCTTTTGGCTCTCTGCCTTCCTTGGACATGTTGCAGCATCTGACAGACTCCATAGCTGTATCCTGGGGCCATGCTGAGCTGACCTAAATTCCACCTATAGCCCTGAACCTAATCTTCTCTCAGGGCACTGTTTCTAAGGCCTGGGGCCAAGCTCAGAGAGTCATGTAGCAAGGCCAGTCTTACGTAGTCTTGGTAAAATGCCTTCTGTGAAACCTCTGTATGGGAAGTTGACCTCTTGCATACCTTCTGGGGACCCTCATCCTTCTGGAAGAGGGATGAAAAGTCAAAATCCCAACTATGGACAAACTGGCCTCTTCAGGCTTTGTAGAAGTTCAGAGATGGGCTGTGATTCCTAGCTGGCTTAACTATTCCAGCAGAAATCATTACTGTTAAGTGTAGTTACACAGACAAAGCTTCTAGGTTGTATTTTGTCATTGCTTATATGCCCTGACCTTTCTACCCCAGATAAATTTAATATGAAAGGCTGGAGAGGTGTCTAACAACCACTGTATCCTGCTAAGGCTCCTGAGGTTTTCATGTGTAGCAGGGAAGGGAAATGGGCAAAAGGCTGTTGCTGGTAAGTCTCTGTGGATAGCAGTATGCTTCTTTATGAGCCCATGAACTCTTTTGATGCTGCTCTACTTCTGTGTTGAAACCATGCACTGGCACTTCTCTTTAAATATAGATCTCCTGTGGTCTCATACATGAAGTTTTTAAGGGCTTCTGGCAAACCCTGGGGACTGGTCCCCTTCTTTATTTAACCTTAAATGTTTATAAAGGAGGAACAGTAGAATGGGAAAAGCTCTTTTTCTAGAGGTGACAGGTTCTAAGGTCTGTATGCAGCATGGGAGAAGGATACTTTTTTGGTAGTGTTGTTCAAAATGTGCTTTTAAAATGTCACTTAATCATTTAGTCATCAGTCCTGGCTTGGTTTCAGCTTTTAAACCCCTGAAAACAGGATTTTAAAGAGGTGTTATTGTTTTGTGTGTTAATTAATCATTTCAGTCTTAGAGCTACTGAAGTCAYGGTATCCATATTCAAACTGTTAAAAGATGCTTATTTTCTAAGTCATCTCAGTATAGCTAGGAAACATCATCTTGTCAACAGACCTGACCATCCCGTTCTGAGGCAAATATCCCTTGAGGAGAGATAGTGAGTCGGAACAAAATAAAGCCTATTAATAGAACCCCGTAAGAAAGTTGAGTCTGTGGAGAGATTGCTGCTTCATTGCTGGAATGCTGAAGTGACGTGTTCATTGGAATACTGCATGACTTGGAGACAGGTTCCTTTAAAACCTTTAGTAAATATCAAAGGTATAAGGAAGGGCTTAAGTTGGGGACAGTGATTTTGGGGATAGCTGGACTACATATTGGTTTTCATACTGTTTAGTTTCACTCCAKTCTCGTTAGGACAGACATTTGATTTCTTCCCCCTGCTGAGCCCTGGTGAGGCTGCTTGTGGGAGCTCTGTGGCTTCCCAGTACCATGGAGCTATTGGAATGAGTTGTGATGGTTTAACTGATTAAACACATTTAACTGTGATGTAACATGCATTAACTGTGATGGTTAAAGACTGGAACATGTCTCATGTGAGGAGAAGCTGAGAGAGCTGGAGCTGTTCAGCCTGGAGAAGAGAAGGCCAAGAAGAAGGATCTTAGCAAGATGTATAAGTATCTTGAAAGGAGGCTGGAAAGAGGATGGTGCTAGACTCTTTTCAGTGGTGTCCAGGGATAGGACTGCAGGCAACAGGCACAAGAGGAACTTTTGGCTGATCCCAGGGAGAACTTTCCTGGGAGGGTGACCATGCACTAGAGCAGGTTCCCCAGGGAGGTTGTGGAGATGCTCAAAAGCCATCTGGTCACAATGCTAGACMAGGTGCTCTAGATGACCCTGCTTGAGCAGACGGATTGGACTAGTGATCTCCAGAGTCCCTTCCCACCTCAAGGATTCTGATATTCTACAACATACCATTTTAAAATTCCAGATTCTAGTCTAGGTCAGACTTTATTTATACTACCAAGTAGAGAGCTTTTGGTGAAATACCAATGCTTGCAGTTCCCTGTTCCTGTGCTAATCTTAGACCACAGTATGCAGGTAATTCCCAGGAAACGCAGTAAAATGGGCAGGAAATAATATATACCAATTCAATCTGAACATGGCCTTGTTTTCTGTACGCTCCCAGCAACTGATCTGGAGTTTCAGTACGAATTAAAGTAGATGATTGATAAAGTGCAAGATGAAGAGGAAAAAACCCCTGTGCTTATTTTTCATAAGCATTGCCATGAGTCAGCGGTGTGTGACTGTGTCCTTCAAGGTTACATCTGCGGGAGAGAACACGAAGTAGAACATTGTGTTGTCCTGAGCCCGAGAGCACGCCTTCAGCAAATTCCCTGCCCTTATCTCTTGCTGTTTATGGCTCCTTTGGGAGGATGATGACCTTCTATCTCTTTTCTACTGCGAGTGGATTGTTGTTTTGAAAACATCTTTTTGCTACGTGAGTGTCATAGCCAGTTGGACTCAGTTTCAGAAAGCTTATGTCTCAAAATGTAGTACCAGTGGGCTGTTTATTTTAACTTAATGTGATGATGAATCCCCTAACTATGGAGTGCATTAACCTCTATGCTGTTGCAATTTTATGTATTTTGTTGTTTGTTTTCTGAATTTATCTGTCTGAATCGCATCTAACCACTGTGAAACTGAAAACCTCCAGTTTAAGTGCAGACTACTGTAAACTGCTGTTTTCCAGGCTCTTGTACTGGCATACCATTGCTGCAGGGCAAATGTATGTGTGGTTACTTCAGATTACAGTTCTGCCATTCAAATATTTAAGGCAAAAATATATAGTTTTAACTAGTTCCTGCCTACCAAGCCCAGTCCCTATTCTTTCTATTACATACAGAAGCTCTGTCCTTTTTTTTCGGAGGGAAAGCTACCTGTCACTTCTGTTTCTCTGTAAAATAAGCTTTCCAACAAAATGCTGCTATTTTGCCCTTATCCCATGCTTTAGAGTTCAACATCTCTCTTTCAAAGTACAGTCCATGAATTTTATTACAACTTCTTAGTTGTTCTTGTCTCTGGGAATGGCAGGTGATTATTTTACGTGTCTCATCTTTGGCTTCCAAGTCTACAGTCAGTGARAAAATGTCATGTGCTCATGTCTCCTAACTCATCCTCTAGACTATTATACAAAAAACATGCTATTGCTGCTATTAATGTTGTCTTTGCATGCTATTTTTTTTCAATAAACGTAGCTTTAATTATGGGGCTTTGTACTAAAGACAACGTTATTGGTGTGTTAAGGATGCTCAGGGCTCAACTGCTGTATAGGTCTTAACACCTTAACTGCTCAGCCATGATGAATAGGTAGCAAAAAATAAGCGTCTGGATGAGATTTTATGGATTGCTGTTTTTCCAAATTGTGATTAGCATCCCGGGTTATAATACTAGAAAGACGAAGTGTGAGATCCATAAATAGTGGCCTGGAAGGACTASAGATGCTCTTCAGCATGATGCTGGAATTCAGAAGGGCATGATAAATGGAAGAATTCTTTGAAAATTAGGAATTGACACTCAGTGAAGTCAAAGGTAGGCTATCATAGTGCAGACTATCCTAGCTGAAATAAAAGAAAGGCATGGTTAGAGGTAGATACGTGTCATGTCAAAATTCACATCCTTTTCTGCACTATTACATGTCAAAATGTACGTGAAACTTGTAACAGTTCTCAGAAAGAAAATGAGTCAAGTCCGCTATGTGGTTGAAAAAATGGTGTAATCTTCTGGCCCATACTTGTCAGAGCAGCATATAAAAAGCGAGGAGGTGGTTGCCTTTGTTGCATGTGTGAAGAGAATGTGGCTATTTTCCATTGTATTAGAAAGAGTAAGTCAAGAAGTAATTGGATTCAATTACTGCAAAATTGCAATTTGATTTATATAGGATATTAGGAAAAATTAAGTGATGAAAGTTTTGAAGCGCTGGAAGAGGTATGCAAGGAGGTTTAGAATTTCATTCATTGTACATTTTTAGTAACAAATTAGATCAAAATCAATCAGAAATGGTCTCGAAATACTTACCCAACTGTTGTACAAGGAAAAGAACTTGCTGACCTTTTGAATCTTCCTTTTCAATGATAATCTATCACAAAAATCAATTCCTGCTATTTTGCCTGTGAGAAATTCACAGCTTCTAAAACTGTCATGTGTTTAAAGCTATATTTGAGACTGTTTTTGGCCTTTGATTTCTTTTTTTTTCCTCTTACATATTTTGGGGTTTCTTTTGCGTCACACTTGTGAATTCCTGTTGGCTTTAGACTTGCACAGAACTGTTTGGAAGATGACTTATCTATTTATTTAAAATACCGAGTTTTTTTAGCAAACTTTTGTCTACCGATGAAGAAAGAAAACTTGTAAAACAAATTCCAGAAAATCTGAGAAAGGTAAAAATGAAAAACACTTGTTTTTGTATTTGATATATCAGTATATTATGCATCTCAGTGGTGATACAGGGACAGATACTTGTGGGATTAAAAGGGAGAAGGAAGAAAGCACTGATTTTTAATGTTTACTAGCTTCATGTCACTGATTCTGAAAACATACTATAAAGCTGGTAGTCAACACAATACGAATAAGTGCTTGGACAACAGATGAGAAGTGTGGAGTTTGGACACACAGTTGGCATGGGCCAGCAGAGAAAACCACTTCGGGCCATGTTCCTCTTGGTGCCAGTGCCCCTGCTTCTGATGTGGCTGCCACATATGCACTGCCCTGCCAGAGCTGAATTAGGCAAACATTTCATTAGGAAGAAAATTGTCAGCCATGACTTTCATATGCTTCCAAGGATGAATCCTCCTCTCAGCCTCACCCTCACTCCCACCACTGTTATTTGGCGGGTGCAGCGTTGTTGGGATACGAATCTGAATATTTTTTTGATTGCATGAATAACTAGAACAGGGCAGGACAATTTGGAAGATTTTGCCATCTTGAAGGCAGTAGTATTGGTAGGAAAGCTAGGACTTCTTGAGACTTGATGAAGAGCTTGAGCGCTCRTTTTCTCGAATGCTAGATGGGCATCGTGCCCCTTGAGAGAACATTGGGAGACCTCAGGTTAGCTACAGGGAGGACAGCAGAAGGAGAAAACAAATCTGTTACTGAAGCTCTGTGAAGCATTGCTGCATATCCGTGTTTGAGTAGACCTTTCCTGCCCTCCTAGGAAGCTACGTGACCTCAAAAGCCCACAGGAGACTCTCTGTTGGATTTGTTTCGTTTTGTGTAATTTTGAAATTCATGCAGTTCATTGGAAGGATTAATTATGTATAAGGCATGTGCCTGCGTGTTCTTTTCATCTGTGAATGTTATCTTGCCTGCAGTTATTAGACGTCTGATTGGACTGAACATTTTGACAAGAATTCAGTGACARAAGGGGCCCATTCATCTTTGAAGTCGTGGGCCGAAGAAGAGGAATGCAAGTAACATCAGTAATGACCTCGTTTAACTTGTGACAGAGAATAAGGTAATCATGAAAGGTCACTGTAATGTGACTGCGTTGTGCTCTATATGCTGCACTGCTCATGTTTCAGCCAGTCTCTATTGCAGTTTTAATGAATGCTGAAATCCTCTTAATGTTCAAATRTAGGGAAGTTGGATGAAACAAGAGAGCAGAATGCGGAAAGACCTTCTCTCCCCCACGTACTTACAAGTGAGCAAAAAGCTAGAAACAGCAAAGTTCTTATCTACTGACATTTTTCATAGAAATTTTAATTTACCATTCTTTTATTTTTTTTAAACTATTGCTTGACTAAAAGAACTGTCTTGTTAAAAGAGAGAGAGAAAAAAGAAGTGTTTTCCATAGAAAATACTCTCTCTTCATAAYAGCTACAAAGCAAAAAGATTTCACTTTATAGTCAAAACTTTGCAAGTCAGGATGGCTTGTTGTCCACAGAAACAGACTTCTGTTTCATAAAAGTTTTGAAATAAAGGCTGTTTTGCCATCGGCACTAGAAAAGATGGGAATTTCTTTTGTTTAGCCTTTGGTGAGAATTGTTTTTAGACAGATGCAGTCCACGAGGGCCTGTTTTCCAAAAACAGCTCTTGGCTTGTGCTGTCAGCTTATTTTCCTCTGGACAGACTTGGCTTTGTGTTTGAGTAGCTGGCCATCTGACACCCAAGGTGACGAGCACAGCCAAATATGTGTGGGTGCATCCCCAGGGGTCAGCAGATCTAACCTAGGCACACTTTGGGTTTCATCAGATGCAAGATACCTCTATGTGGTGTCTCCGAACTGTGATGACAAGATATATGTAAATTTTCAAGATATATGTTAACTTTTCTGGTATGCTTAAGGTATGCCACCTCTGACCAATGAAGACCACTGGARGCAGGAGATGCATATGATGCAAAGCCTTATTGAGGCTCTCATGAGGCCTCATGAGGTTTTTGCCTCATGAACAACAAAGCTGCTTGAAAAAACAGCATTTTTTTTCTGATTTCTTCATGTCACTTGAAATTGCCTAAGCGCCACCAACATAATAATCCCCATGTGCTCGATGTTCTCTAATGATCACATGAACACTGCAGGAGTTTCCATGCAGCAGCAATTAAATTCCATGTATCCCGCTTTGGCATGCATTGATCACAGGGTAAGACATTATATGGATTTTTCAGGCTAATTCCTTCTGATGATATTTCATTGTCCTGGCCAGGAGTTTTTAAAGGTATTTTTTCTCATCATCTTCTCACCTCCTGCTAAAATATGTTAAGCAGTGCTACAAATGATAATTGCACAGGTTTGAATCTCCAGACCGTTCCCTCTTATTTCACAATAGACAGATGTTTGAAAACATTCAAGTGTGTGGAAATACTGTTATACTAATTTAAATGTCCCACAGTCGAGTCTTGCAGTTGTTTTTTTTGCAACATGTGCCTCGTAGTATCCAGTGTTTTACTGGAAGCAAAACAACTAGGGCTAGTGGAATTTACTATCCCTGTTATTTATTTACTTAATAAATAGTATTTTCTGCTATTTACTTCTCCCTTCCACCCTCACCACCCACATGAGGCAGCACAGTTTGAACATGAAAGTCAAGGGAGGACGGCAGCCTATAAATACTCAGAGAAGTCCAGGCAGGGCAAAAACGTTGCAAAAACCTTTGACTAACAGTTCACAGACCTAAGAGCTGGGACTAACCACTGCTGGCTGGGGATACAGGCTGAATTCAAACAAAGACCGATTGTAATTTTGTGGTTGGGCACGAATGTTTTGCACAACGTTGATTGAGGCTGCTTTGAAAATCGGGCCAGGATTGTAAAATAAACCTATTTGCTGTAGTACACATTGTGTTTGGAAACACAAGGAGGCCTTGCAGGCCTTGGCTGGAAAACGCTGTGCTGGGTACGAGGAGCTGTGTGGACCTTGCTTATTTTATTTGTCTTGTTTTATTGTTACTGAGATGCGTGGGATCTCAGATCAGGTGAGGCAAAGAACATTAACATAGATCAAGGAGTTGGTTATTTTTTAGTTGTTGTTACATTTTTTCACCTTAATTTTTCTCTGTGACCTTTGCTAAATCACTTAGGGTTTGGCCTTTTGATTTCTTACTTGAAGAACAGGCTCACCTTGCAGAGCTTGATGTGAGGACTAAAGAGTTAATGTTGGTAAATTAATAATTGTAAAGCCTGTAATACATGGAAAGTCCGATGTTAGTGACAAATGATACAGGAGTCTGCCTAGAASTGGCCAAGGCATCTTCCATTGATTCACATTGGAGTCTGATTTGAAAAAAGATGGGGCTTGGAGATGGAACTTGTGACCTATAGAGTTGCTCCTGGGATGACCTACAGCCTGAGGCAAAGTACTAAAAGCCAGCATCCTAAAGGTAGCTAGGGTTGAAGGATGCAGCATGGCTTCTTTCCAAGCTTTTCACGTGGCTTTCAAGTGCCTGAAGTCCACTCATCTCCAGCCTGGCTCTTAGCAGCTTTGCAAAGCAAGACACCAAGGCCCAAGAGGAAGCGCTGCTAGACCAGCAACTGCAGCTAGAATGGGGTGAAATCCTTGCTTTCCTCTGTGGTGTTGTCTGAGGAAGCTTAGTCGCTTGAGGAGTATTCCTGGGCCTGGCTARGGGAGAGGAGAAGTGAATACAGGCCTGCTCTCCCTGCGTGAGGAAGGAATCATCTGCCTCCCCAAGTCCCAGCCAGTATAAAAAGGCCACACAGCTCGAGTGAGGGGCTTTGCTTGCATATGGGAAGTTGCTGGGCAATCACTTCTTCAATCCAAGGATACTTGTCCTCAAAATAAGTGGTGTGAGATGTGAAAGTATTGCTTGCAGAGCAGGCCTCAGCTGAGGGAACACTCCTCATGTCATCGCATGGAGAGCTGGCATGGTGTTTTGGCTGAGTAGTGGCCTGATTTCAGTTTTTACTTTGTAGTAGTCACTTATCCCTTTTCCAGTCATTTTTGGTCTGATGGGAACTAATTAAATGGAACCTAATTGAAATAATTTTATAAAACAAAAAAAAAACAAACAAACCAACAAAAAAAAAAAAAAGACAAAAAAGCCCCAAAAAACCACCAGGCTGGACTAAATTCCAATTAGGAAGGCAAAAAATAGAATGGGAAGAAACAGGTATTGTGGAAGTTTAACATGATATATTTGCTTTAGGATGTTGCTTGGCTTCTCTCACCTGYTTAGGCCCATACAGCTACATATCTGCTCTGCATGATCTGCTCCCTTATATTTATATGTGGTCTTTGCAACTTTGACACACAACGAGCTATGATAGAAATCTTTCATTTAATTAAAATTGATTTTAAAATTCCCTTGATCAATAATGAGTTAAAATTCATCGCAGCAGTGATGGGAACAGCAAACCTTCTGAGAAAAGCTTTCAGGCCAGTGGTTTTGGCTCTGGAGACCGAGTCTTGCCTGAAATTATCCTTTTCTTGGCTCCAGGCTCCGTGTTGCTTGGCACATTATGGTTTACCCTATAGCCCAGCTTGTCAACCGCCCATACAAAAAGCTGAGACATCCAGGCTAAAGGTCTTTCATTTTCTGCTTTTTACAGTGTGGATACATAAAACCCCAAACTCTTCATGGTATCTAATGCCTTCAGGTTAGTAGTGCCTACCAGGCATCAAAATGAAATTAGTGTTTTATGGAAAATGACCCAATCTTTCTTCTTTGATTCCTACACTGTAGCCTAGCTAATCCTTTTTTTTCTGCCTTTTCACTCATGGGAAAATGGAGTAAGTCATTAATAAAGCATTACTTATCACTTAGGGTTAGAAAAYTATAAAGGGGCTTCTCTGCATTTATGTTTTGCTTCCATGCAGAAGAAAGACCCTAATCAAATATATATGTATATAAAAAAATATATATATATTTTATGTGTGTGTATATATATATATTTGTTTTTGTAACTGTTGTTACCRATGAGGACGTTGTTCCTGGTGGGCAAATGGATTACCTTGCTTGATTTGCCTTGAAGCTACATTGACTGGAAATCCCAAATGAACTTAGAGGATCTAATAGCAGGATGGGGACTCTCAGGAGCTCTGTCCTAGAATAAATACAGAAGGCAGAACTGCTGTTATTTAAATTAAAAAAAAAAAAAAAAAAGAAAAAAAGAAAGGAAAAGAATTATGTAACTAATATTTAAAAATTATGTAATATTTAAATAGAAGTGGTTTGCTGTTACATAAAGTGGAAGTGCATGTGCAGGATGATGGGATGCTCTGAGTGTACTGAGCAGGAATTCTAGACTATAGTAGCAGGTAGATGATACGTACGTCAAACAAATGAAAGGAAATGTCACATATAGTAGAAAGGAATAGCACCATCTGTGTTCTTATGTTATCATTTTATTTGTTGATTGGGGTAAAACTGTTTTATTGAATTGCTAAATTACACTTTGTAGTGAAAATGTGGACCAGTTGTTTACCATGCTTTGTTTTGTCTTCTATAGCATTTAAAATGCCAAAGGAAATACCATGCTGAGAAAATGGCTTTGGAAGAAGATTAACAGGCATCCACTGAGTAGTCTGTAGCATGTGCRAACTGCACTAATAGCTTAGTGTAAGTTCTGTAAAGTCAAAAATTATTGTATAAATTAATAAACTCTGAGTTGATGGGTTTTTTCKTATTTAAAAGAAAATGTAGACGTCTTTAGTGGGAGAAGTAATAATTTCTTAATAAAAAGCAGATTATAAAACCTAGAATATCRTGTGTCTTAATGAAAGACAGTAATATTTAAAGGTGCTTTGAGACCGTGTTTGGCTTCTATGTTTATTTACAGTTTACCCTCTGTGATGCTAAGTAATACGTACTACAACTTTTGTAGTGTTTAGATCCAGAAGCCTCAAAAGCACCYTGCAGTCTGTCATTAGAGTCATGCAGGACCCTGAGCCTTTGGGATGTTGCACCAGTCACTTGGTGCTGCCATGTGCTGATGACAGGTGACAGTACCAGTTTTTTTTAAGCATATTTTTACAAAGCCAATAAAGTATCCAGAATTTGCTTCATGATAAGGAATGTTTTTCACAGCTCTGCATGGTAATAGGAATAGGTGCTTGGTGCTTTCTCCTTCTCATGTGATTAGAAACATGCTCTATGCTTGCAACATCCAAGTTTGCTTTAGCATCTAGGATGCAATGAAAAATAATTCTATTCATCAGAGAAATGGTTTCTTATTTGAAGTTAAAATATTGCTCACTGAGAGCATTTTCGAGCCTTCTTTCCTAAAGACATAGCTGGGGGAACATTAGTCAACTTGACCAGCCCTGTATCCCTTCCTCACCCACATGCCTGCTGTTTGTCCTTCTCTGATGCTCCTTCCGCATAACTGTTCTTTTACAAGAGGTTATTGTTGCCACAGAGTGAATAGGGTAAGGAAAAATGAGRTAGTTTACGGAAAATAGCAGGAGTGAGCAGTGTAATTGCCCTGATTCTCRTGTTGCTCAGTACAAGTTTAGTGATGCACATGTATTCAAAAAAGCCTTGATATGTTTCAGGACAAGGAATACCCTGTGCTGGATTTTGTGAAGGTTGGGAAGAGCAGGACCTCTGACCAGCGAGGTGCCACCTACCCTGCSAGGTCGAGGAGCTCGGTAAGCCACATTGTCAATGTGGAGCGGGTCACCAGCACCAACCACCTCCTCCATGAGGGATTCTGCCCTCTTTACCCACTGCCAGCTGAGCATAATCTTAAATGTCCTAAATGACTTCATTAGAAGATACGGRTTTTGCTCTAATAGAAACCAAATGTATCATCTTATCTACGGAGCAATGATGGTTCTTTCCTATGCTTAACTGTATTTGGATTGGAGATAAAAACTGTGCTTCCCAGAAGAAAGGTTGACTCCCTACAAGGCTGTTGGAGACAATTTAGGGATTATAGTTTGTTTTGTGAAACATTTGTCTGTTGTGTGGAAAATTCAGTTTTTGAAAAGTCCACAGACCTGGCCAGAGAGAGATTAGGCTAGTTTTAATATTCCACTGTTTTCACTCATTCCAGTTGGTTAAAGCCTTGTTCTCTTTGTGTTAAGATTCCTGCCTCTGCGTTTTTGCTTGTGGGSCACCTACGTAGAGTCTGAAGGTCAGAGAGCAGTACCTGTGTCTTGGTGTATTGTTCATCTGCAGTGTGTGGTTTATCTGATGTGTTGAAAAAGGACTTACTGAGCTTACCTGAGCCAAAGGTAGAAAGCTTAGACAATGTTTTGAGAAAGCTGTGAGAAAGGAAAAACAGGAAGCTGCTGTTGCTGGTTTTCTACTGCATCCTTTTCACGGGTGTTATTTGGTCCTTGGGTTGTACCTTGAGCCYAGTTACTCTTTGGAGTTCTCTTGAGGCTGCCTGTTGTTCCTTCCTCCCTGAACCCTTTTGACCATCTGTGGCTTGTGGAGAATATGAAAGCTCCTTCCTGTGTCCAAGATCAATAGCTTTAAAAAGAGAGCATAAGAAGCCACTAATCATCTTTTCCACCAGGAGTGATTAATTTCTGAAGTGCTTCAGCTTGTTCCCTTTGAAGTTCCATTTCCATCTTTAATTTTTTTTTTTTTTTTTTTTTTAAAGCAAGTGTCCAAAATTTGGAGGCCCACCCACATGTGTCCTGCAAATAGGCAGGAGCTGGCCATGGCTTCTCCAGAGAGTCTGTGCTGTTTGGATGTGGGTGGGCCACAGCCCTATTTGGAAAGCTCTCAGATCCTGGAAATTGGATTGCAAAAGCCAGTTGAGATGTTTCCCAAAGCACCCTGGCTTCAGTGGAAAATGGGCCTGGTGCTGCTTTCCTGCCTGAATCTTGGATGGAGAAAAGAAGGAAAGGGGAGGCGGGGGAACCCAAACAGCCGCTGTACAAACTTAAATTGAATGCGGTTCAGTTCCTCAGCTCCACTCCAGCTCAATAAGAGACTGAAAGAAGTGGTGCCCCCACAACCACCTCCTCTTTACGTGGGTAAATAAGACATTCCAGCAGTGCTGAGGCTGGGCCAGTGGAAAGATTTTTTTTGAGGTTCCCACTAAGTCATCCACAAATCCACCTGGTCTTTCTTCCTGCTTCTGCTGCAATCCGCAGCAGCCCTAAGGGCTGCTATTACTGGAGTATTACTTACACAAACAGGGATTACATGTACAGTTATGTAAAAAAGTCCCCTTGGAGTTCAGAAACTGCAGAAATTCAGTATTGTCTCGTTTGCAAGTATAAAAAATTGGTTGTAGTGTAAATGGGTGATCTAGGTGATATAGCTCACTCAGACATGAAGGTGTCAGGGTCTGGGAGTGTGCACAAGCCTCAACAGAGTTTCCACTTGTGTTRACCTGAATTGTCTAGTACATCCTTGGCCCTCCAAGGTGCCAAGAAGCTTCAGCAGAAGCTGCTGATAGTGGAATTGTCATTGAACTGTTCAATTTGCAGGTACAAATAAAGRGCAACGTTCACATGTTTCATCCTTCGCAGAGATCCTGATGCATTTTCTAATGATTACACTTCGATTAGTGTGTTTTACTGGGTTTATATGTCTGAAATCATACACTACTAATGTGATACTGCCACTAAATACTAGGCAAGAGAGACATCCGTCATGTCACCAGGAGATATCTGTTTGAAAACAGAATCTGGGTATCATTTATTTTTAATATATTAGATTTGTTTTGTTTTTTGTCCTTTTTTGTGTCTCTGTGGTACCTGCTTTTGGCCTCTGCAGAAGTGCTGAGGCTCTTCAGGAAAGTCTCTTCTTTGCTTTTTCAGTGTTAGTTCAAGTGGACCTGAAAGGTAAGAGAAAGCTTGTGCCAGCCAGGTTTCTGGGCATCTGTGCTCCATGTGAAGCACCTGCTCCTGTTAGGTGTGTTCCATAAAGGTTGGATGATGGCCCAGTTTGTCAGCAAGAATTTCCACATTAAAAAAGGCACTTGTTGAAGGTATGGAAGTGARTTAAGAACAGTGTGCCTCTATAATAGTCAGGAATAAAGAGGATGGGAAAGAGAGGCCGTTTAACAGGGAGAAAGGAAAATACACGTGAAGTTAACAAGTTCTGTGGTGTTTGCAGTCAACTGTGTGAAACAGAGAAGCGGTTTCCTCTGTGTTTCTGGAAATRTAAAAACGTGTTCTAGGCTCTCTCTTGAGAACTGCCCACTTTAAAAGCAGTTGAATCATGACAGTAGTGAGGTTGAGATCAAACATATACAGCTGTAGACCTCTTGCTCGTGTTTCTTCCTTGTGACTGGATGTTATGGGGAGTTGTGACAATGATCATCATTTGGAACATATGCATAATATGGGATTTTCAACTGAACACTGAAACGGCAAACACCTTGAACACCAGCCTTTAAATAGGAAGTTGCTTTTGTCTCATAGACTGGATATTTTGGTTAGATTTAGGTGTTTAACTTTTCTGACTTCCTTACGTGTTATTTTGCCACTTCTGCAACACCAAAGTCTGATCAGAAGGGCTCCGTTACCCTGGTCTGCCAAAAAAGGTGAAGGTGGGAGAGAATAAGCTCGAGCATTGGCTGTTTGGATTATATTTTTTAAATAGTTTTAAGCTACTTTTTTGGTTGCCTGCTTTCCTCATCTGTCACAGGTGTTCCTTTCATGTTTCTTYGGGGTTTATGGATGAAGCTGTGGTCTTGGTGAAGAGTAAGAGTAGGATTTCACCACCCTCGCAGAAATCATGATTGGTTCGTGGTGCAGGATTCCTGTACAAGTGTTTCATTGAATCAGGCTGTTGTATTAAGCTGCGTTTTCTTCTTCAATGTTCTAAAAATGGTTGGCAGAAGTATTTAATGCCTTTCATATCCCCTCCTCCCTAGTAAAATTAATGTTACGAGCGAATATTTTGGATGGAAAAATAATTCTGAAGACATTTTCTTTGAAATACTATAAATGTAAAAATGGGAGGGTTTTTCCCTATGGTTGTTATGTGTTTTTATCCTGCGTCTGGGAGTGCTATTTTGGATGCATGTGTGAAATGGCTTTTTTTCTTTTTTAACTCCCATAAATGAACTTTTTCCTTGTTACTGAGAAAGCAGCTTATTGCAGAGAGAAAGGAGGTAAAGAAAGGACCACACCACTGTAAGGGATAGGTGATGGAGTGCTAACATTGCATATATACTGGTTTATGTGCAGGCCTTTTAGTGTATATCCCAGTATCTGCCTTGGTTTCAGAGCTCACTAATATTCACAGGCCCTAAAAAGTGCCTGWAGATCCTTTTTTTTCTCTCTCCTTTTCCCTCTTTTCCCCCTCCCTTTGAAACCTCAAGGTGTTGACTGGTGGCTCGCTGTAGCACTCTGTTACCAGCCATTCGCACCTCTGCTTGTCCACTGTCCCCACCTCCTCTCACACTTCTCTCTGCTCTAACGACGTGTTGCAGAAATATACTGTGCTGTACAATGAATGCGTGCAAAGAACAAGGGGGTATTTAAAAGCTGAGAAATAGGAGAACTAGTGAGGAAAGGGAGAGCGAGGGGAGTGCTTTTGGCACACTGGACTGGCTGTGCATTGTAATTCAAGATAGATGACAGCTCCACAGTAGGGATTAGAGTGTTCATTTGAATTCTGGAAGTCTAGGGTTGGGCACGTTTTGAGA